ATTTCAAACTCAGGGCAACATGCTTTAACATCAGGAAATGCCCAGAAAGAACCCTCTGGAAGCTGCATTAAAAGAAAATACAAGCCTAAACCACTACAGATTTCAATAGAATATTGTTCACTCTTGCTACTTCAAGAATTGAATTCTGTGGAAAAACAAAGTACAGTGGTATGGGGGAGTGGAACACAGGGGAAAAAATCCACTGAGGTAGTCAGTTCAGAAAATAGGTTCAAAGAGCTTTCACTGAGCTCCTTCCACATACAACCACAGGGGCACGAAGGAGCAAAGGCAGTTAGAATAGGTTGTGTATACATGGGACAGGCTGGCTTTTGTATATAGTTGGACTTCTCTAACTGCAGATTCATGTCAACATTCACATTCCTCACGGCTGTGACTCAGAGTTTCGATCATGTGTCATCTGCATTTTCATTAGTCTTACGTACTTCTTTACCTTAGGCATTGCCCACATCTAATCCATTCCCGCCTTGCTGTCAGGATGACCTTAACATAGTGAAAATCTGGTCCCGTTCTTTCAACTGTTAACTATGCCCACAAAATAAAGTCTGCTCTCAGGAAACTGGCCCTCTGTTTTCAGATCCCTGCCCACCTTTCCAGTCTCGTTTGCCATCATTCCCAAGTTGTGTCCCAGTGCCTAGCCCCAAGTTCATGGTCTTTGCGCAAGCTGACCTGTTTTCCTATAAGGTGTTCCTCATGACCCACACCTGCACCCTCTAGTTCTAGAGGGTTCTAGTCACATTTCATTGACTGGTGCTCTTCTGGGAGGAGTCTCCTAACCACCCTAACTCCTCTGCTATTCCAGGAACATCTGTCAACCTCATTACTTGTTTGCCTATTTAACTCCCATACCAGATTATAAATTTCTCAAATAACCAGAGTAGAGTTTTATTTGAATATCATTATATCAAGATCCAAGAAAAGGGCCTTATATAAAATAGATGCTCATACATTTAGTTAAATTTTAATGAATGAGTGAACGAACAAATGGGTTAATGAAAAAACCATGGTTTTGGCACATGCTTAAGAACACAGGCTCTACAATATAACACACAGACAAATAAATATCAACTTGTTTGAATGTAGTGAAATGTAAAGGCAGCTTTCACTAATGAACATGTTCGTGTCTGCTGTTGACGATATATCCAAAGGGGTGATTACATAGCTACGGCCAGGATTTTTGGTTAGCTGCTTTAAAATCAGTAAAACCTAAAATATTATAGAAAATTTTTCGATTTAAAAACAATACCATTCTTTCATATTAGTTCAATACTGGTATCAGAGAAAGACAGGAGGGAAAAGCAAAAAGTAGGAGAGTACAGAGGGAATTGAAATGATACCAGGAAGCAAAGCATCTGGGAGGAAAAGCTCCTGCCTGGAAAACACAGTCTGACAGTCAGCTTTTTAGGCTATTACTTCACAAAGAGAGTTGAAACTTGCTTTTCAAGTTTGAGATTTCTTGTTTATCCTGTACAAACACTGCAGTTAGGTCTTTACTATAAAAGTAACATCTCTTTCCTATGAATTACATAGATTCCTTTTACATATCCTGGTAGATTGCTCTTAATTGTTGATTAAATATAAGATTGTATTATTATTACATAGGCTTAGGTAGTTGAGGCATCAAGATGAAACGCTGGCTGACAATAACCAGTGCTTTTACAAAGATATACTATTTGCTGCCTGAATGCAAACTTGTTGATGAGAGTGGGTCCCTTTGGATCCCAGTTCATCAAAGCTGGTAGGCACACGTGGAAGGACACAGGGCACATGTGGAAGTTAAGAATAAGAAAGCCAACAAGCCATGACCAGAAACGGAATTTCAAAGGCTGAGGTAGGAGAGGCTGAGCCAAAGCCAGAAGTGAGGACCAGAATTTTCCCCTAAAAGGTTGCAAATTGATCAGTACTAATCAACTAGTGTAAAACATTCTACTAATTTTGAAAATCAATGCCCTACCCTAGAGTTGATTCTTCAGAAATTGAGAAATTGTGCCTTGAAGACGGGTTTTCTGCTGACCATCTCATAGAAATAAAATCTGTTTGAAACCATCTCTCATATATGGTAATAATATTTTATGCTCTGTGTCTTAAAATTTTAAATGAGATTTATAGCTCTCTCAATTCCTCAACCAAAGGATCCAAACAAAATTAATTTCATTTTTATTGACTTAATTACTTCTATGATTTTCAATAGAAAAACAACCCTTATATGTATTTATTAGAATAATTAAAATTACCTAAAGAGATATATTAAAATATATTTTAGAAAACAAAGTTTATCAAAAAAATCAAAAAACATTCTGATAAATTAACAGTGAATTGCCTTTTTAAAATGATGACTATTGCTACTAGCCATTAACTTTTATAATAATCAATAACTTACAAGCTCATGAGTAAAAAATCCTATAATGTATTACTTCCCATGGGTTTAAGATATTTCTTGCATAAAACCTAGGATTGGTTATATATGGAACATTTTTCCTTTCTTAGTCAAATTAAAACATTTTATAAAGTAAAAACATCATAACAAATGTTTCCTATGTCTACCCAATATAGTTCAGCCTAAAAAAATAACATATAGTTAATAATGCAATTATTTCTAGAAACTACAGTTTGGTATAGATGGTTATTCAGTTTCTATAGTAATTCATTTAACTGGAAACTTTCAGAAAATGCTGCTGGACTAAGCTAAGAATTTAATAAGGACTAATCTGGTTGATTTTACCACAAATAATTGAAAATTCCTTGGGTTATAATAACAGCTTTACTTCCTCCTTTCTTTTATTATTTTAACTTCAAATAACTAGTTAAAAATAGGGTTTATCAATACGATGGTAATATACTGTTGTCAGGAGAGTGGGTTTCTGGCCCAGGGATGATTCTCAGTTCCACATTTTTTTATATCATTAATCTTGTATAAAGTAATAATTTAGAAGTCCAATGTCATTTTCTGGTTGTTTAAAACTAAACAATTTAAGACAACAAAATGGTACTCTCATTCATCTATGTTAACTAGCCTGAGGGTTGTAAGATGTGTAAAATGTGTGCATAAAGTAGTAGAAAGATTCAGAATGTGTGAAAATTAGAAAAACATTTTGTAGGGCTTTTAGTACATTGATACACCCTTTTATTCCATTTTTGACAGCAGTATCAAAAATGGAATAAAAACATAAAGATGTTCACACTATTAACCAGTAATCTCACTCTTGAGAAAAAATTGAATAGGTGAAAAGTTGAATGCATGAGGATTTTCTCAGCAGCACTCTATGATATAACAATAATGGAAAATTATCTAAATGGTTAACAAGTGTAGGTAGCAACATAGAAAAGTTTATGAATATAAGATGAATGGTTTTTATTATGTAATGACAATAATGTAAAATATATATTCATGAAAACAATGATCAAATTGTCATATATAAAATTAAAGTAGTTCTTATTCATATTTATTATTAATTTTAATCATATCACTATGACACCTTTTTAATAAAAATACTAGGGTTATACTCATTAGATATACAATTTCTTTTCTAATAAGTTCTATTAGATAGTGCTGCTTGAATCTATCCAGAACACTAAAAAGACTCCTGGGGTTTTATTCGGGTTTGGTGTCCTAATGAATCATGACCGCTTTGGCAATTCACAGATGCTTCAAGCTACCAAGGTCCCTTCCAGCGGGGTCTAAAACAATAGGAAATGGGCTACGAAAATAGACACACTCGCAGAGTTGTTGCTGTTTCTTTTTCTTTTTTTTAAGGTGTACAGTTTTACTGTTAGCTCTTCCAGCTCATCGTCACTATTGATTTCCTTAAATCTTTTTAGAATGTTGAACATGTGCTGTAAACTTCCACACATCTTTTAACCCCAATCAGTTAGCCGATTCATGAATCAAACAAAGAAAGTATTAAGATTAGAGATCCAAAGGCTGAGGTTTCCAAAAAGGAATTAAGGTAAAATCGAAGGAAATTAGGTAGGAGGTAAAATCTAATTAATGAAAAAATAAAATCTGTGGCAAACATGAAAAACTCAAAGGCTACCCAGTAGGGCCCAGAAGGTAACAGAAAGAGAAACAGAAGCAGCAGGCTGAGTGTAAGTGACAAGGAGTGCGGGGGACTGGAGCTGCAAAGCTTGCCCTGTTTAACAGGCAGCAGCCAGCACATGGTTCTAACAGGTTGCTGACGTGGCTGCCAGATATTCAGAATCATTCAAGGAGGCCAGAAATATAGAGCCCTCGTGAAATCCCTGAGTTTCTAACTGTTGACAACTAACTCAACTAGTTTTAATTTTTCATTCCCTGTGGGAGCCAAATAATCAACACCCTTGGGCTTATTTTGTTTCACGGGCTTCCTATGTGTCCCCTGTCTCTAGTTAGCATACAGGGACTTCTTGAAAGGATTTGCCAGAAGTCATATTTTCAGATGAAGCCCTTCATAGGAAAAAGAAAAAGAAAAATGCAAAACAGCGAAGCTACAGTAAACTGTGAGCACATGGGTAAGTATAAATCAATAAGGGCTTGCAAACTGCAAGAACATTATAATAAGACCTGAATGCTCCTGGGGGGCGGCGGGGACCTTAGAGGATTTCACTTTTATTTGTCTGTAATGATTGAGGAAACATTCTGAGTCACTACAAAAGAAGATTAGCCCCAAAGGCTTTTTATGAAAAAGGATCAGAACGAAATGACAACATTTGACCAAGACGGAATTGCTATGAGCTACCAAATTGCAAATAGGATCCAGGTGTGTGTCCTGCGTCGTGCCTGCCTGTCGCTAGTTTCCTTTTCCCTATCCCTAAGGAATGAGGGTCTGGCTGCATAGAGGAAACAGGAGGCTGAGTGTAAAAGTGTTTTTAGCTGAGTTGTAGGAATTTACCCATCATCCAAGTTAGGCCCTGGGGAGGGGTGGGCTGCGTGGTTGGGAGGAAGGGGAGAGTTGTCTATTCAGCTAATTATCTGCATCACATGCACCCAAGGAAAAAATGTTTACCTGGTGGAGCCACGGTTAACCTTTTTTCCTTGCTGAGCCGGTGCCCTTGAAGGAATTCACTCATGGAAGGGGGGCCCTTCAGAAGAAATGATTCTGTGGAGGTGGGATCAGGGGGGACTCTTAATAAATTCTGTAGGTAGGAAGCCCCTGGAGTCCTGGGACGGCTCTGATCACAAAGGGAAGGTGAAAATTGTCTTGCAGGAGATCCAAGAAAATACATATAGGAAACAAAAAAGTTTTACTTTAATTACCTTTCAAAGCCTCACCAGTGACAACATTATTTATATTGGCATTTAATATTTTTTTAACATGTAAGTCAAGATTTTTGCTAATTGTTTAGTTTCCACACCAGGATACTGCCCCATTTGGAAACCGTACTGGATACTGAAAAAGAGATTTATTATAGTTAGTTTGAACCACCAATAGAAAATATTTATATTATTTGATTTCGTACTGAAATCTCCTAAAATGAAAATTTTACCGTTAACTGAAAATACAGGGTAAGTAATTCAACATCCAGGACTCTGGAAAAAGGTCAGAAAAATCAAGCCACTAAAAACCTTTCATGGGATTTCTTGGAGCAATATTCACATACCAAATGAAAATGCACAAAACCTGCTTTTAAGAAAAAGACTGTACATATTCCATCCCGTGTTACCTAAAGATAGACATCATCTCCTTTAGTCAGTCTCAGTTTTTGTAACATAAACAAAAGTTCCCCTAAGAGAACAGATTCATATCCTTGCCCCATTAAAGAGAAGCTGGTGAAAGCACCATTTGCAGAGGTACAATGACTTTTAAAACGACCACCCATGTAAAACAAAGCTGCATTCTTAATGTCCACCTTTTATCTACCAATTTTTAGGCTGGAGGTAAGAGAGAGGTATATTTATGCATACAAGGAACAGCAAAAATGTTGACAGACACTTGAAAGTTATATTATGGCTCATAAAGAGGTCAGGAGGGGGGGACAGAAAGGAGGAAACAAACACCATTATCAAGAGGTTTTGATTAGAAAAAAACAATATTAGCAAGGCCCATTTATATACCCCCTCCCAGTTTTTCTCTTCCTTCCCTTCCTCCCTCCTCCACAACAAGAACACATTGACGTTTGCAAGTTAACTAACATCTGGCCACTGCACCACACTGTGAAGATCGCTGCATGCATACCTTTTCCTCTGAGTGCCACTGCTGACCCGAATGTCGGGTGTCTGTGGGCCCTGCCTACGCAGGAGGTAAGTGTCTATGGTGGGCACGGTGACTGATGCCTCCCCACTTACTTTAGGGCTGCCGATCTTGCTCTTTCCAAATTTGCCTTTGCTGCGTCGGGACTGCTCATGGTCAAACTCTAAGTCCTCCAGCCTCTGGGTCAGGGCGAGTTTTTGCTGGATAGCCATTCGTAACAAAGTATTTAGAGTCTTCTTCTCGTCCTCTGCGGCTGCTAACTGTCTCTGCATCTCATCCAACTGCGTGACATATTCATCACATCTGGAACCAAAACAGAAATGTGGTCAGGAGAAAATCTTGGTGAAACTGAATTTGGAATTTCAGTGCAAAATAGATTTTTACTGGGATTTAGATATTTACAACACTGGTCTTAGAGCAGAACTGAGGTATCCTATCATAGTAGAAACTTAGAAACAGTACGGTAGGTACAATAATGGATCGCTCCTCTGTACAACGGAGCATTACATATAGGGACATTCTTAACAGGTGATGTCTTAAACCTCAAGGACAGTTATTGTGGGAGCTGCCACGTGGTGGTACAGAAATAGGCAATGAAATCTCAGGTCATGTTCACAGCATATCAGATGTGTTCTAGTGCTTCGACTGTTTAACATGTTCTTTGGAGAAATGAGACAAGTTTGTTACAGGCTATGTCTGTAGCATGCAACAGAATATTAATGTTTATAAAGAAGACATTTCCTTTTTTATTTGGAGTTATAGGTTTTATTTTTAATTGAGTGTGGCTGCCACTGCTTTCAATGTGGCAGATTTGTCTGAATTAGAAGCCTGAGCATTTTCAATGATTTCTCAAACAAACAGATGATTAAGCAATAGGTGTCAAAGAAAACTGAGATTCGCCTCAGACTTGATACAGATATAGAAGGCGGTCAGACATATTTATTCAGGTTTGATTCTTGTGCTGCAGCAGGAAGATAAGTTCAGGGATTTGTTTTCCCCACCAAAGGTAAAACCTGAGCACATGTACAGTTGGAAAAAAAGAATTATTCACATAAGAAGTCTGAGTTTTTTCTGAGTTTATCCACTGAGATGATAGCAAATATTTTTCATGTACCAACAGACGGTTAATGACTTTGTGGAGTTATCCAAAATGTATTGTACACACTTGGAAATCAGCACAAGCCTTGTGACATTTTAAAGAAAAAAACAGACCCTGTAGTGAAAGAACTTGAGATCTGGGTGGGTCCGCATTTTCTTTCACCTTGAATGTCAAGAAGCACAGTAGGGGTATCATAAGAAAATTCAGGGCTTAGTAAAACACAATGTGAATTTCAGGATTCTGGATTTATTTTAATTGGTCAGACAACAATATTCTTAAAAATACTAAGGAGTATGGCAATTATTATACCAAAGAAAATCCCCAACTTTCTGTGAAAATGCACTATTGGGGGGAAATAATTCTTATGGAAACCAGGCTGACTTTAAACGTTCCTTTGAAAAATGCCTTGATTCCTTTTTTCAAAGAGGAAATTTGTTTTCTTGATTCTATACATATAATCCTGACCTCTTTCATTAATTGGGGGGTATGTGCACCACTCTCATTCTCTGTCCTGCCTCCCCGGCGAGGGGCCGCAGGTATGCATGTTCTCCTCCTCAAACCCTTAGCATGGCTGGAGACCCTGAAGTCGGTTCCCTCCAGGTCCCTCACACCTCTGGGGACCCTCAGGCACTCAGCCTCCTCACTGAGTCAATCACAAAGTATAAGCTTGAGCCTATCTCTCCTGGCACCCAAAGAAAGCTGGACCGATTCCCAGGCTCCCATACAAGGCAGGCTTTTGTTTTACACTTGGATCGGCTACGTGTACATTATCACCAAATCTGCAAATAAAGGCATAGTTTATGCTTTGTGAGCTTCGTACCGAGTTTGCATCATATAAAATATATAACTGTTTTTATTTTAGGAATAAGTTGCGACAGCAAAAATGGTTACATATTGAAAATCTCAGGATTCTGAATGCCTTGAATCAATACATTCATCATAATCATTTCAGGTTTAAAAACAAAATACTGTGGCACCTCATAATGAAACTGGTGTAGGGGGTAGTAACTAGTATCTATCTAATTACTTGGGCAATGTGAAAAATTTGGTGATGTAATTATATTTTATAAGTTATATTTATATCAGTGTGTTAAAGTCTAAGTAATCGATATGAGTGTTAATCTTCATTATGATGGTATTTTTTGCATATAATATTTATTAATGATAAACATTGTATGTACTTTGGCGATGATCAATTTCAGTGGTGATAATATTTAGCTACTTTAGCAAGTAGGGCTTTTCCTTATGTTGGAGGCTTTTTGTTGTTGTTCTAAGTCTTTTGGGTACACAAGCCCTATTGTGAATATAGAAAAAAATGCTGTATTAATTTAAAAATACTTTTATGTAAAGGAACTGCTTGATCCAGTATGTCCAGTAGAGGGCTCTGGAAACCAACACAAAAGGTCTTATTTTAGATTTGTCAGAGTGGAATCTCTTCTATTTTCTTCAGAACTTATACATTCAAGATGCACGAAGATACACATGTGAATTTTAAAGTCTTTTCCCCATGTACCACACCTACCCTTGGAAATAAAAACAATTACCTTGTTGCAAACATTGCTCTCAGCGATGAGAAAGTTGCTGCATCTTCTTTCAAAGCCTTCAGTTCATTTCTAAGCTTTGTCATCGTTTCAGTCACCATTGCTTTCTCATTTTCATATTTGTTCTTGAGATTAGCTAGTGCCACCTCAGCTGTCTAGAGCAGAAAAATCACAGCGCTTACAACTTTCATATCAGGAAAATCTATCACACAGACTTCATGCTGGGTCTATTACTTTCTTTAATAAAGGGGGGTGAAATGGATTTGGTTAAATTTTACCTAAACATAGGTATGTACTTTGGATAGAAGGCAGTTTTTCTTTAATGTCAAAATGTGCTGTGAATCCACAATGTGGTTAAATTGCCCTAGAAGCCAGCTATGAACTAGAGTCAGTACCAGAAGCTAAGGCAGTGATAGTCCGGTAATTAGTTAGTACAGACTGTTGAGAGTGTGGGATTTTCACCCATGAATTCAGGGAGCCAAAATGAAACTTTATAGAATTTTATCAAGGAGAAGTGAGGGGCACAGTACTGCTTCCTATACAGTAAGAACTCAAATATTCTTGTGCCACCTGTGCTCCAGGGGCCTGAAACAAACAGGATAAAAGATACAGGCCGCTGTAATTTATGACATGCCGATATGACAAACTATCAATCCATATTTTATGTTTAAGGAAGAAAATGAAAAAAGAACCAATGGTTTTCTATATTTTTTCATACAGCTTCTTCAAAACAGCTGTAGTCAAATTTAACAATCAAATTTTAATAATCAGATAATCAAATCAAAATAATCAAATTTTAATAGTCAAATGTAACTCCATAAAAGAAAAGCTCCATAAAAGAAAAAATTCCAAAATGTTGAATGAATTGAAATATTTATTCAAATTTGGGATTTGGGCATGTCTAAAGTTTTTGGAATAAATAGTGTTCCACGCTGAGAACCAGGCTGACACATAGAAAGAAGTGAAATAAGAGAATGTTGCCTGAATCAATGCAGGAAATGAATGTACATTTAGGGACTGTCTGTTGGATGCACAGCACGTGATGTGCATACTGAAACCAAACCAGAAACGTGCACTTTTTACAAACTGTTAACTACAGCTTTTCAGGCTGTGTAACAATATTCGGTACTAGTTTTTAAAAAGTCCCTTACTAATAAAAAAAAAATCCATTATTCATAGGACTTCCCATAAAGATTACCGTGGTTTTTAACATTACGTTTTGTGCTTGAAATGGACAGTTTCAATTTTCTGATGCAAAGTGCCAATTTCTATAAAGGTAAACAGATTCTTTTTAAGTTAAAATGACATTGGGACGGGGTAGTTTGTTAACATTTTGATTCCAAAGTAGTTTCTTATTGGTTAAGATTGAATTTAAATTCAAATTAAAATGAGAAATTACTTAAAAAATAGTTCAACATGTCCTGTAGTATTATAACTTAGTGGAATCTTTAGAAATATTATAAATTCAGAAAAGTATCCAGAATGCTGAAGTTGACCTGGGGAAAAATGGCCATTTAAGTTAAAAAAAAAATTAGATACATAGTCATTTAGAACAAATAGTTACGTATTTTTCACTTTTTCACAGTGAAAATGTAGATGTAACAAATTTGTAAGCACATGGAGCCACAAGGTCACTTACTAAGGGGAGGGGTGACAGAAAAATAAGATCTGAAACAGAAGTGCAAAGATATTATTTGTGAGAAATGTCCCAAAAGGACTCAACTTTGCAGATTTTTTTTTTTGTCCAAGGACTGAGCAAAGTTTTCTTCAGAATTAAGTGATTCTAAGTGTCTATAATCCATTAGCAGATTTCCTGGCATCTGCATTTGCCACATTCTTCAAACACTCCCAAAGTTTAGTTCCTGCATCTTGTGTCCAGCAACAGAAACCTTCAAAATCATTCCTTGAATATATCTTTCTATTCTGTGCCTCTACCACCTACTGTTCTTTCTTTCTGGAACTAGTTCCTCCTGTTCTAGAAAACAGCTCCTTATCCTTTAAGAGCAGACACAAGAATAATTCCTTCTGTGAAGTATTTTCCAGCTCCTCTAGAAGACATTAGTTATTTCCTCCGCAATGTTCCCATAACTCAATTACAGCACATATAATATCAAACTGTAATGATCTGTTTCTGCTTTGACATCCCCACTCTGGAGAGCAGGGACCATGGATTAGTCTCCTTTGAATCTTTAGCGTCTAGCACACTTTAGTACACAGATGGTACTTCATACACACTTGCTTATTTATCAGAAAACACTCTTTATGAAAAATCCTAAAGCATATTAAAAAATTCATAGAGAATGCAGAAAACTTTTTATTTTTAAAATAGAAAATCCTTTTTTTCTCTATACCACAGAATTCTCACTTTAGCCTTAATATAAAGTAACATTCCACAATGTATAAACATAATGGGTATCATCTGTAGACACCTGAAACTATTTATGGCACATAAGCATCACAACAATAGGCCCAGCATAATTAAAATGCAAAACGAAATGCACAGCTAGAAATGTGTTTTCATTTAACTTACTGAGCCCATAAAGGGTATGTATGACGCAAATGGTACCACAGCCAGGAATGCTTTGTTCTGCTAATTCCTCTGGCACTGTTTATGCCATTCTAAAGTGTTTATATGTACTATTTTGTAAACAGTTATAGGCATTATTGAACTCCTACTAGATTACTAGTCATTTATTTTTTCATCTTACTTCCTGCCGGCCATGAAATATGTACGCAGTAAATGCCTGCTCCCCAATTAGGCTCTCTCGGCTGATCGACCATGCTTATTTCCTAACCTCTGGGTCAGTCGTGCGTCTTGACATTCTTACATATCTAGGTTTCTAGGTGGTTAATACTCAACCTCCAGGAAGAAGTCAGAGAAGTTATCTGAATCATTTGACCCCAAATGCCCAGGGTATTATGTCCTTGATAAAGGTTAAGTCTTATTTTTTATGATATTGGTTATTTGGAACCATTCTAATACACCAGGGCTTTGGATTGTAGCAGAATTTATGGTAACATGTTCCTTCACTCTGACCTTGAATTGGAGTCAAATCTCTCACAAATTCTTCATTTTTCCCTAATCTTTTCTATTTCTCTGAAGTGATGGCACAAAATAAGGTCCTATTTTGCCCTTAGATTTATCTAAAACATGTTTATAGTGCAGGCAATATTATTGTTTGTGGTATAAACCTCCAAATTGTATCAGTGGATTTATGGGAACTGAAGATAAAGGTGCTAGAAAGCTGCGTTGTAGATGACAAAATTATACTGTGGTTTCCCCAGATAAAAGCAAAAGAAGGAACTCCGAGTCTGAAACTAACCCTCGTTTTCTAACACCAGCCCTGCTTACATTTGCAAGAGGGTATCTGATGCTTTAGTGCTTCTCTTTATCAACACTCCTTTTTGGCACCCTTCTCAAATATATCTTTGAAGGTTCATTTTCCAGAGAAATAAAGGTTATAAATATTTTCCTGTCTACATTTCATAGCACTGCCATCCAGGTAAAGCTCGAGGAGAGAAAACAAATTCAGTGACCAAGAGGATCTAGGAATTAGCCAGGTAGTGTCTTGTGGTAGCACTCTTATTCCTGAAGGCAAGGTCTATGGTTAGGAAAGATTCTCTACTGCTTAAGCTCTGACCCTGGTGAGTGAACATTTTAATTGAACCTAAATTTCAGATATGTGGTCACTGGTAGAGTTAGTGCACATTCTACCTCAATCTCTTCCTCTTCTTCTCTCTCTCTCTCTCTCTCTCTCTCTCTCACCTCCTTCTATTTGCTCCAGCACCCAGCCAGGGTGTATTTCTTGCTGTATCTCCCTGATATAAGCCACCAAGCCCAACTCTTTTGCCGTCCCTCCATTTTGTTTTCACAGACCACCTGAACTGCCTTTCTATCCTCACCTCTACCTTCACCTACTGGAGCATAATTACTCTCCTATTTCATCCATTCACCGAATTAATAAAAATTATTATATTCTGATCTGGTACGGGGACTTAAGTTGTTATTCCTCCACTAACCAGGAATCTGAACTCTCATCCTGATTATAGCTGACACTCAAAAACATTAAGGAATAAACAAGTCGGGAAAGCGTCGGCTAGCATGCATGGTCAGTAGAATGAGATCACCTGCTTGTTGGCCTTCAGCACTGCCCTCAGCGTGGCGATCTGCTCCCGCTTGGTGCTCAGCAGGGACTTGAGCTTGAGGAACTCTTCCATTAAGGCTTCCTTGTCTTTATCAATCATGGGGGCCAGCTCCCGTGCTGCTGCTCTTTGACGAGACAGTTGCAGGGACCGGTCCACGGCTTTCTGCAGATGCTTGATTTGGTCCCGGATAATGGCGTTAAGGTTGTAGATATTCATTGGCTCTTTGCGGATGTCACTTGTATCTAATACTGGAGATGATGGTGGGGCAGTAATAACAGGAGAGATGGTGGGGGTCTTGGTTGGACTTGGTTCCTTGCTGGCCTCTGTGTTTTCTTTTGTAACTGGTTCAGAGGAGGTCCTTGTTTCTACTGGGGATGATGCACCCCGCCTGGCTAACCGTGGAGACAAAAGTCCCCTGGGATCATCAGGCCCTTTCAAGCTGCCACTACGGGTAACTCTGCTTTGCCTATAGTAGTCCAGCATGACCCTGTTGGGGGTTTCATTATTACACAGACATACATGGTGGTAGAGCTGAGCTAGTTCCTCACTAAATGTCACCAACTCATCCTGAGCTGTATTAAGGGTATTGTGATTTTCGTTGGCTATGCTGGTCATCTTTTGCAATTCCTTCTCCATATGAGCCATTTTCTCTCCACTCTCCTTGGTGGTCTTCTCAAGGCTTGTCACCTGCTCATCATACATTTGGATCTTACTTTCATACTTGGTCTTCTCTTCAGTATAGTTTTCCACAGATTTATTGTATTTCTCTTTTAAGGCTTTAATTTCAGCTTTCAAATCGATCACCTCAGTTACTGCCACCCTGTATTTGCACTCAAGGATCTCTAAGCCATTGATGTCCACCTCATAGTCATGCGCCTCTTCCCCTGAGTCCCGGCCCTTCTCCCCATCTAGCTCAGGCTTGAGCTCCTTGCTGCTCTGTAGGCCCCTCATGGCATTAACGTGCTCCGTGAGCCGGTGCACCCGTTCGTGCTGCTCCGTCAGCGCCCCCTTGGTGTGTTCCAGCTGCGTCTGTGACTCCTGGAGATTGGCCAGAAGAATGGCCTTTTCCCGCTCTACCTGCAATGGCAAAACAAAGTCTTTGAATGACTTCGATGCAATGCCACTGATGAACTGAACACTATTCACAGTTGGACACGTACAGATGTAAAATAACTGCAACAGAGCCAATGTTCCCACTATTTCAAATTCAATGGGAGTATTTTCTTCAGCAGTTCTGATAAGTCAATCACTCCAAGTACATCCTTCTAAAAGAATTATGCTATGCATATTTACCCATTCAAATTCTCATGCTTTATACACATCAACTCATAAAACTTGAATGTTGTTCAAACAATCTTATTTTTATCCTTAACACTTTGCAGAAACTGTAACATGACTTCAAGAGATAGTACTTGGCATTGTCTTTATTTTGAGAGCCTTAGACTGTATCTGCTCCTTAGTTCACGTGGGGTACGTGGCTGTCTCAAGGTGCCACTGAATCAACCTCTCCTTCCCAAAGCTTAAGCCCAAATTAGATTTAAAACCTAAGGCTTTAACTTCCTAAATGCTGCTGATAATCTTAAACATTTCCTTAAAAATAAGCATTTAATCCCAACAATAGACATACTAAATTTGAGAGTTTTTAATATAAAAGCCAGAGAATACAGAGTTTTATGGCTAAAAGAGGGCAACAAAGAATTAGACTGAAAAGGTTGGAAGTGAAATAGGAATCAAACATAAATGGAGTTATAGAAGAAATAGCTGAATGTGGGAATGTGGACACTGATGGTGTCTGAAGGATTTTAGATATGCTGCCAAAGCAATTTGGCAAAGGAGAATGTAACAAAAATGAAAGAAGTAGTTGTAAAAAGGATGAAAATATCCTAAAGGAAGTGGCACCAGCACATTAAAGATACTCTCGAAGATAATTTCAGACATTGGAAGTGCAAAGGATAAAATGCTGGAAGCTGATCTAAACTTAGATAGGAGTATGACAATTTGTCAAGGCATAGAAAAGATTTTTGCTCCATATTACAAGTTATAGCATGAGGAGAAAGTAAGTTTGAATGACTCTTTGTAAGTTTTTTGGGGGGAGGGTTAAATTTTTATTTCAAAGGTAAGTTTTATACGAAGAAAACTTTAACTTGTTTTTTATTGTTAGATTATTTAACTTGTTTTTAATTGTTAGATTTAATTGTTAGATTTAATTGTTAGTGTGTTGAGTAGGTTTATTATTTTTTCATTTTTCTGTACATTTATAACTAATATTTTAATGTAATTTTCTCATTAACAAATTTGTTTTCCACAGACTGCTTAATCATATTTCTGTTTCCACAATATCATGCAAAGCAAAGACTGTTTGTATAGTGTGGTCATGTGTATTAGAACCTAAAAATATAGTTTTGTTATTTTAAAGTATTATTTACAGGCTCCTAAGCTGTAGCTTTGATATTATGACATAGTGCCTGCCCATATCTATGACAGGAATGTAATCCACAAGTTATACATTATGGCTGGAGAAACCGAAATATTTCAAAAGAATAGTATTATAGGTAAAAACAAAACAAAACAAAACTGAGGCTGCAGCATCAGAGAGCTTGAGTCAAATCCTGGCACCAACATTTACTTAGCTATGTGACTCTGGCCATGCTTCAGTCTACTAATCTCTAAACGGACCACAAAATGTCGCAATATGACATTTTGATGATTGAGATAGTGAATTTAATGCTTAAGGTATTATATTAGCTATTGTTAATGTTTAGGGAACTGTGGTGTAATTCCCATGACCAAAATGATTCTACGTGGCAAATCATCTGTTGCACAAATTTGAATCTATGTGCAAAAGCAACTCTTTCATTTTAGAGCTGGGGTATAGCTGCATACAAGTCCACTTAATTGGGTTTCATTAGCTTTAAAAGATTGTATCTCCACAGTTAAAGATGAAATGACTTATCCAGACTACTGGGCAACAATTTTAAGTGGTAATTATGTAATATGGAATTAGACGAAAAGCCAAGTCTCTGAATTTTTGATAAAGGGGATAGAAAAATCTCCTCAATATTCATTATTGGTATTATATATAATCTCAATGTAAATGGATTATTTCAAGAGTTTTGTTTTCTTTTTCTTTCGAAAATTAAGTGAATTTGCTCTGAAAAGTCTAAATATCATTTGATTAGTATCCATGATTACAAAAGACAAAGCTACTTCCAAAAAGCCCTTTAATAGGAAAAGCCTTTGAATAAAATAGGATAAAATGAAATAAAAATTGGACCAGAACAGAATGCACTGAATGTGTCTTAAGCTTGTTTTAGAAGCAAAAGTGTTATAATGAGCGAGGTAATGCCTTCAGTGGAGTTTCGATCTATATTCTGCCAATTCAGATTTAACGTAAACATTTTCTAAGTTTAAAAGGGTAAGTCTGTCAGTTCATTCATAACACCACCTTCAGAAAACATCAGGTAGAACACTGTCTCTTTTGTGTGCCCATATGCTCCACATATATTTTTTCTCAGCTATTGAGACTTAGAATATCTTAATTGTACTTGGATTTTAGAGAGCAGTGCTTACACTATTATAGATACACTGTACTTTGAATTAATAAATGCAATGCACTTTAAATATTAAAATTACTAAACATTTTAACTGTGCTATTTTAATCTCCATTTGTGAACTTATCCAAGAGAGACTTGCTGAGTTAATTATAATCTTCTATAGTGACTAAGAATAGTTGCCTTATTTCTCTTTCTACGATCTTTATCTTCTATCTGGAACTGAGGATTTTAGTTTTCATTGTAAGACTGGTCATTTTGCCAGAAAATCTGAATGCTGAATTTGTAAATAGTTTAGCCAGTGTAGGTAAGTATACTTTAACTATAATTGTCATTGCTATTATGTCCCATGGAAATTACATTTGATTTCACTGAATTTTACCTTTTCAATAGACGCATTTACATATATTAAGGACTCACAGATTTTTTTGTGAAGGAACAACAACCACCACAAAAGGATATCCAGAATTTACAGGTTCATATTGGAACTTCTATGGGAAAAAAGAAATCAAAGCTGTTTTATAACTATTAATTTCCATAAAGACTTTATCCTGGTCATGTGACTCTCCATTTGAAGAATTGGTGTGATTCTAGTCATGGTACATGTAGTATCAATCTACATAAATAGAACTGAGAAATAAATAAATTATTCTTCCCTGCTCGAAGGGAAGCATCTCTGGCAGTGCACACCTGTGCTCCGAAAAAAGAAAACCATGGAAAAAGCTTCACATAAAACCAAGAAACACTAGGTGAGAGAATCCAGCAGCTGGAAAGGAAGGGAAAAGCATTCTGGAGAGTGAGGTGAAAGGAAAACTCCTTTTTTCTCTTTTTCTCACCCACATAAACATATGCAAAAGGAACCTTCTGAACTTATTCTGAAGCCAGTATTACTGACACCAACAGCAGATAAAGACATAACAAGAAAACTACAGACCATTATCTCTTATAAATATAGACATAAAAACCCTCAACAAATGATAGCAAACTGAATCCAGCAACATATAAGAAGAATTTCACAACCAAGTGGGATTTATCTTAGGAATGCAACATCCAAAAATGATAAACACAATACACTGTATTAGTAGATTACAGGACAAAAACCACATGATCATCTCCATATATGCAGAAGAAGCATTTGACAAAATTCAATAACTCTTCATGATGAAAATAGTCAATAAATGTAGAAATAGAATAAAATGTCCTCAACCTGATACAAAACACCCACAGATGACATACTTAATGGTGAATCCTTTCCTGCTAAGATCAAGAGCAAGACAAAGACTAATGCTCCTGCTACTTTCATTTAGCATTGTAGTGAACTAGACTACGATCAAAAGGCAAATAGTAACAAGTGTTGGCGAGGATGTGGAGTAATCAAAACCTTCATATGCTGCTGGTGGGGCTGTAAAATGGTGTAGCTGCTTTAGGAAAGAGCCTGGTAGTTCCTCAGAGGATGAAACATAGAGTTACCATATGGCCCAGCAATTCCACTTCTAGTGTATATTCAAGAGAATTAAAATATATGTGCACACAAAAACTTGTATATGAATGTTCACAGCAGAATTGTTCATAATAGCCAAAATGTGGAAACAACTCAAATGTCCATCACTGATAAATGAATAAATGAGATGTGGTATGTCTATACACTGGAATGTTATTTGGCAATAAAAAGGAATGAAGTACTAATACATGCTACAACATGGATGAACCTTAAACATATTATGCTAAATGAAAAAACCCACACACAAAAGATCACATTGTATAATTTCATTTATATAAAATGTCCAGAATATACAAATCTATTAAGAAAGAAAGTAAACTAGTGGTTGCTGAGGGCTGGAGGGTTCTGGGAAATAAGGAGTGGCTGCTAATGGGTACGTCCTTTCTTTTTGGGGTGATAAAAATGTTCTAAACTTGATGGTGGTGGTGGTGGTTGCATAACTCTGAATATACTGACAACCATGAGATTCTACCCTTTAAATAGAGGGGTTGTATGTTATAGGAAGTACACCTCCATAAAGCTCTTCTTAGGAAACCTACTACATAGACATTTCTCCTGGTTATGTTTACAGATGCTCTTTTATGTTTACTGATGTACCATAGAAAAGTAGGCTCTGAGCAGTATGTTTGGTTATAAAGCTCTAAATGTAATCTTAAACTAGAAAGTCTGTCGTATTTTAACTACGTATCAACTTTGTACTAAGAAATTGTAGTTATCACTTTAAGTTTTAAAAATAACTGGCCAATCTTGTTTTCATTAACTTTACCCCATAAATATTCTATCTCTGTTAAGCAGAAATAACATTTGATTTATTTGACTCTCTGTGTAGCAAGTCCACTTATTAGGTTTTTTACTTTGAGCAAATGATGTAACATTTGTGCCTCAGTTTCCCTATCTATAAACTGGGGATAATAGTACTATCTACCCCATACAGTTGCTGTAAGCATCAACCAGTTAGGCAAATATAAATAAATTGCTTTGAACTCTTACAGATCATATAGCAAAATGACTACTTACCTTCATTATAGAAAAAAAACTAAAATTGCCTTTAACAGATCAGATCTAAACACAGTCTCAAAATTTCTTTCACATCCAGGATACAGCAAAACATCAACTTCAGCTTTACATAAACATTCCTGTTTTCTTGTATTACATGTGAAATAAATAGCTAGTGTGATACTGGGAAAAAAATTCAAAGTTTTCTCCTGCTTAGTTTGACTCGCTGATGTGAAGTTAAACAGAGGTTATTTATCAAAGGTACAAAATTTCAGCAGAAGCATAAAGAATCCTTTGAATAGATTAGATAATTTAGTTTTTCCAGACAGGATCTACTTCTTTTCATTCTAATAAAACTAATTAAGGTACTTGACTGTTACTGGAAAATGTCAATGATGATATGTTAGAAATAGTCAAGTCTTGAGGGCACCAAAAAGTCAAAATAATTTATCCAATAATCATCTGAAAAATGTCTCTTAGTGAATAAAGAATGACACTAATTGAGCTGTTTGCTATCAAGGACTATTGTCAAGTTTATTGGGACTCTTGGGTGAATAAAATGTTTTCTTGGGGTACTGGGTAAAAATGGTCAAGGATAAAGAAGGACAAATTGGTAGTTGCAAAATAATCACAGGGATATAAAGTACAGCATAGGGAATACAGTCAATAATATTGTAATAACTATGTAAAGGGCCAGGTGGGTACCGGAAATATTGAGGGGAACACTTTGTAAAGTATGTGACTGTCTAATCACTATGTTGTACACCTGAAACTAAAACAAAATAATATTGAATGTAAACTGTAATTGAAAAATAAAATTTAAAGTTCTTTTCAAAAAAATATTTTCTTATATGTATTTTCTTATATTTTTAAATTCACATGTATTTGTGTTATGTGAGAGTTAGCATGACTAAATTTAAAATATTCCTGTAGTTTACTGCATAGCCTAGGAAGAAATACAGTTCAGTAAAATATTCACCCCGATTTGTTCTGAGAAAAATAGCACCCCAAGATATAAATATAGGCTTATTATCCCTTGCCTTTTCTTCTACTCTCTAGGCTCTGTGGATTGACTGTTTATGTAAAGTAGGAGTGGTGACCTTCTTAACATCTCAAACACTGATGGACAGTTCCACTAGAGTAACCTAAAAATTTTTGTGACTTATAGTTTCCTATTTACTTTCCTATTTACCTTCTTATTTAGTCTTCACAACCACCTTTAAATGAGGGTTGGATGGGATGCTCACCAGAGCTTCCATGTGGCCATCTTCAGGTCACATACCATCCAGTGCTAGGGGGCACTGTTTACAATAAATTATAGTTGGCGCAGATTTTTATATTTTACCATTTCCCAGCAGAGGGCAGTATGGTATCTTGAGGGCAGTATGGTATTCGCCTTCCCCCCTACCCTACCCAATTCCAACAAAGGTGTCATAGAGTCTAGTGAGAGGGCTAATGGCCTTTCCCTTTATGACTGTCTCTCTGAGAAGCAAAGCAACTCACCCAATATTCCTGATACCCAAGGCTGAAACACAGATTTTTTCCCCCTCATTTCAGAACCCGATTAAGTAAATACCCTTAGGTGAGAAAATATGATTTATGTGCATAGAGGAAATCTTTAAGATAAAAACAGGCTTTGGCCTGGGTAGGCTGTTTTCAAGGGGTTCCTTTAATCCTAAAGAAGAAAATCTTAAAAGCTGCATATTCCTGGCATAAGGTGCTGTTTTCCTGCCTGTGCCTCTCATTGACATCTTCACAAACTGTCAACATTCACTAAGTGCAGGTGTTCAGTTTGAAGGCACACAGCTTTTCCTCAAGTGCAGCACTCTGGACCCTGACCAAAAGAAATCCTAAGAGAAAAGAGAACTATGAAAATACAAATTCTCGCATCCAAAGTATGCTAACGTTATAAGCTGAGACACACAAAACTGAGGGCTGCCTAATAGTACAGCAATTGCTATGCCAATAGCAGCCATACTCTCAAACTCCTTTAAATAAAAGTTTATCACACTTCACTTGGCAATGTTCAGCCAGCCCTAAATTCCCGGAGCAGCAAAGCTGCACCTGACTAATGTGGGGGCCTCTTAGGGTCCTCATTTTTTGTCCCTCATTGTAAATACTCACACGTGTCACTGCAGAAATAGTCCTATGAATTTAACCATCCAGTGTAGCATCTGACCCCACGGGTGTGGGGGAAACAGTTTGCCACCTTGAAATATACCTTTTTTGGATTATTTTAAGTTGGTTGTTTTAAAGAAGCGAAAGACTCAAGAAGAGACTTTTACCTCCCCCTTACTTGCCTAAAGGAATCCAGGAAGGGTGCTATCACCTTAGTTTAGTATGAACTCAGTGCAGCGGACAGGGAGGAACCGGGCAAAGCCTGTTTGGTAGGCGACCCTCTGTGGCAAAGCAAGGGTTTACTTACCAAATGCTTCCCGTTTCTCATCTGCCTGTGGGTTGCCTGCCTTCCCTCTGACATCCCAGACCTCCACCTACCCCTCCTTAGCCCAGACCAACAGGGAAGCCCCAACTGCCCCACATGCCCTTGGGTCCCACATCCTTATGGAACCCCCATGTATACATATGTAATAAGCTTGGTTATTTCCTCCTCTTAATCTCTCTTGTGTCAATTTAATTCTCAAACCAGCCAGAAACACTAAGAGGGAAAAGCAGGGAAATTTCCCCCTCCCCTAGAGTATCAACCTACTTATATTAGTGTAACTGAGCAAAAAGACATGGGAAAGTATTACCTACACAGAGCTGGAATTTCCAGTCAGGTAAAAGTCTATATGAAATCCATTTGCTACCAGCGGCCATGCCTTCTTATCTTGATTCAAATTCATCATTGTGAAAACAAATTCTCTTTTAGCAGCTCTAAGAACTGAGCAAGTGAAGTACAGGATATGTTGACTCTTGATGTAATATTAAAAATAAGCCTTATAATAAACTAATTGTATTTGTTCTCTAGCCCTGTATTTATTTCTGCTAATTTCATTTTTTATTCATCATTTCTGTAGAGGTGGGAAATTGTAAGTGCTGTTTGCTATAAAAATGAATGATTACCAGAGTCTTAGCAGCCTGTAATTATCAGCTACATGCGAAGAACCTTGAAGGGATAACAGACTGAAGATTAAGCCTCAAATTTAATCACCCAACAATCTTGTTGAACCAGTTCCTTGGTTGAGTAGATCTGTGGGGAGCCCAACAATTTGCAGCTCTAAGAAGCCCCCAGGTGATGGGCGGGGACGTCCCTCAGACAAGATTGCCATTTGTGTTGCGTTAAAGGTAGGTAGGGCAGAGAGGCAAGACAAAACTAGAAAGCCATTTTACAGTGAGATAAGCTTAAACTTGGGACTCTACAGAAGACATTTGATTTGAAGTTGCTAACATTTAAGGCCTAGCTTACAGTATGTTGGAATCATAACTCCTTGGTTGCAGATTTATACCTGTTCTGTATAAATCTGTATTCTTAATCATGTGATCTCCTGGCCAGTTAGCATACCGAAAGTCTTTAGTGTCTTTGAAAGCTTAAAGTATTGCTGTGAAGTGTAACCGCTGTTCTTGAAGCTATATATACAGTTGCTTGTGATGAAAAAGATCACTTTCTGTCATTTTATTTGTATGTAAAGTTTTTGAATTCTTTTGTTAGACAGGCATCAAGATGCTTGCTGTCTCTCTGCCTTTTGATTGCCATCTAATTTGTGGCTCTAAGAGATAAATTTCTTAAAGCAATGCAAATGAGGTTTCTCAACACCTCTTCTGGTGTGTCTTTCTAAAATATTGCATTTTCAAAATTGCTAGTTGAAGAAGCAATATTTTTAAAAATAATCTGGAGCTAAAATGTAAGAGTAAGAGACCCCATAACATGCTATGCAATCCCTAAGAAATTCACCCTAATGGCCCTAAACAAAGTTCTTACCTGCATAAGCTGCTGCTTCAGTTTCTGTATTTCTGAAATGTTCAGCTCACTGAATAAGTCAGAAACGGGGTGTAGAGACTCTCCTTTCCTTAAAGTGGGAGTCCGATAGTCTCCATTCAGTTTCACAAGAGGCCCATGGATATGCCCGTTCATTTTGTCATCGTTGTTTGGTTCACTTCCGTCCTCGGCAAACTTGAGTCCATCCACTGAGATGCTGATATGGTTATCATTGAGGGTGATGTACTGGGAGAGCTCCTTCCGCAGGTTGTTCTTTTGTTCCCTTTCATTTTTCAAGGTCTCTAGGGCTTCTTCCAGCTGGTGCTCAGCGATCTCCTTCAAACGGATGGCATCTTCCAGCTGGCTGTTCAGTAGCACAGTCTCCTCCTCAAATCGCTTAATCTCATGCTTTAAGCCTTCGTATTCAACCTGAATCAGACAGGATAGAGAAGATTCAAAAAACTAAAATTTGGGTCTTACAAAACTGCCATTAGGACCTAATCATTAAAAAAAATCAAAGCACCAGTCTACAAAATAAAAAGCACACAATATACACACACTTACGGTAACACAGGATGGCTTTTTTAGAAATCCTATATAAATATAGATTCAATTCTTAGCAGAGATGAAAATGTGTTTGCTTTAAGATTACTTTTATGGGGTCCAATGGTCAAAAGGGGGCACTGTTGACCTAATAAAACAGGGATTTTTTCCTTTAGTAATTTTTTTATCAGGCTATTCACAACTAACATTTTATTATTACTAATAATTTGTTTTATTTAATTATTAATAATGAGGTAATTTTTATACCCCGAGATAAATTAGTTAAAAGATCACAGTAAGAACATTATCTTAATAAATATATTTAAGAGTAAGACAAGGAAGCAAAGAAAAAAAATATATGTGCTTAAGGACAGAATCTGAAATAACAATACCAATTATGCAATAACAAATATACAGGGGTCTGGCACAAGTAACACCCCTTTTATATTACATAAAAATCTTATTACAAAATCATAAGCATGTAATACTGTAACATAACAATATCACACGCAAAAGTATCATATGACATTTGAGGTGAAATGTTCAAATTGCTGTTCATCTTGTGTGAGACATTCACGTAACCTACCAACCACAGTCAATGATGTTACTTCTGTTGGACCCCGTACATATTCTACTGTTATCAATGTAATAGTCTTTATAATTTCAGTGTAATATCAAATAAGAGCTTTCTCAAACACCCTCATGGTTATAAAAGCCCACAGGGAAATGAAATTTCTTCTCTGATCCAATATGCCTTTCTTGGGGCCTTTCCCATGGCACATATCACAGGCCACTTTTCAATAAATATTTTATCTTCACAACGATATTATAATCTCCTTAAAAAGAGGAAATGCTTTTCTTGCACCTACGTGTCCTTCCTAGTGCTTCAATGTTTCTCCATAGTGTTTCAACAAATTCTGTTCTGCTGAGTAAACTATTGTGAATAAAAAAATAAAGTAGAAAAAACAATATAGTCATTATGATGAGATACTAATATCAACGATGTATTTAGTTTTAAATTTGTTTTAGTGTTTATATTAGTTTAAATTTGTATTTTTAAAAAAAACTTTAAAAACTAAAGATAGGAATCATAGACTGTTATCGTTTTCATACATTTCTAGTCTACGGCCCTACAACCCTGAACGTGCCCAATCTCGTCTCACGTCTCATACATTTCTAGTTCTCCCCCACCCCCACCACGCTTCTTCGCATAATCTCAATGCAATGGCTTGTCTTGCAAAGGTTAGGATCACAGTTTTCTATATAGTTCTTGTAGGTTTGGCTAATGTAACATAGATCTAAAGAAGAGCAACTTAGTTGAAACAGAAGTTTGTTTCTCTGTCATGTAACACTATGGAGGTAGTCCATCAAGAATCAGTATAACTCTCTGCTCCATGAGGTCATTCAGGAACCAGGCTCCTTTTATCTTATTGTGCCATCTCCTATTTTGGTCCATATGGTCTAAGGTAGCTTACCATCTTGACAATGCTCCAAGCAGTGGAACAAGATAATGGGCATACCTTCTCCCTCTAAGGACATGTCTCAAATGTTGCCCATATCACTTCCCATATCTCATTGGCCAGTACTAGTCATATGACACTTGGTTGCAAGGGAGGCGAAGAACATAGCCTTTACTCTGTGTAGGCTTGTGCCTAGTTAAAAACTGGGTACAACACCAGGAGAAGAGAGCAATGGATGCTGATGGACAACCAATACTTGCTGTTGTACAGGGTCAATGGAATTTCACAGGTACATAATAAAATCATTCAAAGAGTCAAATCATGGAAATCACTTGGGATAACAGAGTCTTGTATCATGGTTCCTTCCAGGCCTGCTTATATACTAGAAAGTCATTTCCGTCCTGACCTGCTCCTTTTCTTTCTCTGGACAATTCAGGACACTTGCTTACAAATGTTTGCTAGCATTTTCAACCAACCCTCTGAATGCCCCCAGACTGTACAATAGCTTACATTTGCAGATATTAATGTAGTTTGCATTATAGGCATTTTATTTTGTAATCCCTGTTAAACTGATAGCCTAGGCCAGGGGGTTTCAAACATTACTGTGACTTCTGGACCAAATCCAGCCCACTACATATTTTTGTAAATAAAGTTTTAGTAAATAAAGTTTTACTGAAACACAATCATACTCTTTTGTTTATATATTATCTATGGCTGCTTTTCACACTACAACAACAGAGTGGAGTAGTTGCAAGAGAGAATATATGGCCTGCAAAACCTAACACTTTTACTATCTGGCCTTTAAGAAAAAGTTTGTTGACCCCTGGGCTAGACTTGATGACATTAATTTAGTGTGCTTTGTAGTTTTTTAATTATGTGATTTTTTTTTTAGTCAATTGATGATAGACTCCCTATAAGGCTCTATCTCTTTCTAATTTAGGCAGCTTCGCTCACTCTACTCACTGGTTCAAGTTCTTAATATTCACCCAGATGTTTTCTCTTTCTCTGCATAGGCAAAGGCCAACATCTAGAAAACAAAGTCATCCTTCAAAATCCAAGTCAAGAATCTAATCTAACTCCAAAGCTTTTGCTGGCCCACTTAGGCCAACAAATGACTCCTTGATGGACCTCATAAGGATGCATCATATGATCAGAGCCCCAGCAAACTGGATGAACCAAGAAACACAGTGAAAAGATGCTTAAAAACTGGTGCTTGATATTTTTAAAAAAGCATCAAAATAGTTACCATGAGAAAAAAAAATCAGCACTTTGTTGAGATTCTTTGTAGCAACTTCATAGATTAGTAGCTCTTTTTATTTCTGGCTGCATGAGGGTTGGGAATAGGTAACATAATCTTTTCAGAATAAAGAAACTCGAAAGATCTTAATATGACCCTGTTTTGCAAACTTAAACAAATAGCTTTAATATGCAGTTACAAGATAGCTATGAATTTATTGCCTGCCTTCCCTACTGGGACTATAAGCTCTTTGAGTCAGAGACCATGTAAAAAAGTACATGGCCTCATAGAAAAATACCCTGGAAATACTGGTTATTTCAAAATGAATTGAGTATGTTTCCTAGGTCTCTTATGATGTTATTACCTGATATAGAAATATATCCTGATAGGAAATGTTTTTCATAACCGATGTATAATTGAATTATTTATTTTAACAAGGATTTCCAATGCTTAGAAAACAAATATTTGAGTGCTTTAGTTCAATATGTGAGATATTGGAGAAATGGGATTTATTATTTCTCCCTTTCTCCCACCATCAAAACTCTAAAAATTAACATAATTTCCTCTTCTATGTTACGTAATGCTGCAACCAGGCAAATTTTCCTGTTGCTAGTCCCCTGTACCAATACTGACCAATACTGGAACGAGGCATTAAAAACTTTGCTGTTTACAGGGAAAACTCGCTCCTAGATGATGAGACCCAACTAAAACAGCTTCCTCGAGACGCATGTCAAGACCCTCACTTTGTTGTACTTCCCAATTCAAAGCTGTGTCATAAACTCAGTTTATCCCAACCAGTTTGCCACCAGGCAAAACCCAGTCCAGATCCTAAAATCCTATGAACACCCTCCTCTAAGCCTCTCATTCTGAGACATTATGAAAGTTTTGTGGAAGTGGTTCCTTATGCAAGAGATCTGATAAACAGCTTTGCCTCATCAGTGGATTTTCCTGGTGGTCTGCTGGGGAACTGACAGCTGACCTCTCTTCATGACTGCTGCTGCTTCTTTCACTTTTTTGTGTTAACAAGTGCCAAGGTGGAAACATATTTGTAAGGTTGGACCTGACTTCATTTTGGACACAGAAATGAATCTGCACCCAGAGGGATGTGGCTGAAGTTTTCAGTCAACTCTTTGATATTCCCATATATTTCATATTTAGGACCACATATAAAAATTGGCTCGGGCCCTGGCTGGTGTGGCTCTGTGGGTTGAGCATCGGCCTGTGCACTGAAAGGTTGCTGGTTTTGTTCCTGGCCAGGGCACGGGCCTGCCTTGAGGACCAGGTCCCCAGTAGAGGGTGCACCAGAGACAACTGATCAATGTTTTTCTCTCCTTCCCTTCCCCTCTCTCTAAAAAATAAATAAAATTAAAAAAAAAATTGATTTGGTTAATTATAATTATCTGAAATTTTAATTTCCTCTGTAACTTGAAGAGTGAATGTAAGAGAAATTTTTAAAAAACAATTTATTCCTTCTGTCAACAGGTATTTTTTTAATACCTTCTCTGTTCCAAGCTCTCTTCCAGGTGCTATATGGTAATGGAGGGAGATGGGAAATAAACAAACCAATATACAGGGAGTATAAAAGAAGTAAGAAGAGCTGTTTAAATGAAAACTATTTAGAAAATAATCAGTAAGGAAAATGGAACTTTGGAGGAAAAGAATCTTCTAGTTCTTTGAACCAAGTATTTTACAATGCTAATAGCTTTGCTGTTAAGAGAAACATCAAAGAGGCTGGAGAATATGTTTTGTATAGCAAACTTCAGTACAAAGAAGCATTCAGACCAGTTTTGAGATTAAAAGCCAGCCATCATCACGTTTGAAAAAAAATCTGTTGCATAAATTATTATACTTAATATTTAATTAATTAGAAAGAGAGTTTATGATAGATGCAAACTCCTACAAATAAGGTAGGAGGGAAAAAAAAAACCCCAAACTAGCATTTCCTTAATTGGGAGAGACAGGGGACACTAGGACTCTACAGTGCACCCATTTGTCAGCAAATAAGCAGAAATGTCCCTTTGTGTGAAACATGATTTCAAATTAATTAATTAGGCACTTAATTGGGAAATTACCATATTCTATCCAGAAAATAAAATTAAAGAGATGTATGCATTTTCCCATTTGTTTTTTTCCCCCCAAACTTCTGCGCTAAGCATTTGATCCCCATGTTTCAATTACCGGTGGAAGGGCACGGGTAAACCGTAAACAGTAATCTGCCAGACTGACAGCACAGACTCCCACAGAAACAGCCTCTGGGTTAATGAATACTCACAGGATACCTTGGCAGTCTTTCAAGAATACCTAATACCAGCCTAAATTAACCTCCTGAGTAAATTAGTCTGCCACATGCAGCGACTGGAGAGTCTACAGTGAGGCCGTCTGGTCGTATTCCTGCCTGGGGCAAAGAGCAGTGAGGATTTTTAGTAATTATGAGTAATGGCCACTTTAAATATTTGCACTTCCAAGTCTATGTGCTTCAAGTCCTCTACATACTTCATCAGCAACCAAAAAACACACACACGCACACACAAAAACAAAACAAAAAACCTCACAAAAAATACCCTTCTTATTTTAAGAAGATTTTGAGAAGCATATTTTTAAAAACATTCTTTTAGGTCTAATTTTCTCCACTGTGAGCTTAATGACTCCAGTCAAATCAAGAGCTGGAACGCCCACAGTACTGAGAGCTCTCCACACACACAGTGATTCAGTGCTTAACAAGAGAGAGTGAGGTAAAAGCACATGGAGATATCCTAGTAACCCCGTTTTCAGGCTCTGAAGCCACCCCTGCCCTCCTTAAAAGACGTCTTATTCCCCCGACTCCAAAGATGAGGGAAATGGCAATGATCAGAAATCAAATTTCAATTTTATCAACATCTGGATACTTCCTCTCCTCCCTTAACCACTACATCTATCAAAGCCAGTAACAGTTTTGGATAGAGCTACCAACTTGAAAGGAAAGCAGAAGTAGAAGCATACATCTGGGCTGGCCTTTAAGTTTACTGGCACCAGAATCCTACCCTGTGGATGTGGTATTTTTCTAGCCTAGCACAGTAAGTGGCACATAGTGTGTTGGCCTGACCTGAAAGGTTATAACAGTGTTGAGACCAGAGTAGAGGTTGTGGCTGAGGAAGCACCTTGAAAAGCACAATTCACCTTTGCTTAACCACTTGATAAAATGGTATTCATAAAATTACTATATGCTTCTAAAATTATGATATGCTATAACTAGAAACTGTAACAAATCAAATGCAAATCAATCAGGAAAATTAAGCAATTAAACTAAGCCTCACTACCAAAAAGAAAAAATTATTAAAATGTACACTTGCCATCTTTTTTGCCAGGTTACAAAAAAAAAAAAAAATTAGGCATTTTCTTTTTCTTATAATTTTTTTCTTATTGATTTATATTTTATAATCCCTTTCATTATATGATGAAAAAGCAATTGAGAGAGAGAGAGGAAGTGATTAAGTGATTGCAGGGGCACCTTAAGCTTGTAGTACAAAACACACTTATAGATCCAGGCTTTTAATATGTTGTCAGGTTAAGTTGATTACCATACAAAAGACTTGCTTCTGAAATAAGTTCACATAGAGCTAATATTTAACTAAAATCTTTCTTATTCAGTGAAGCTTTATTGTAAATTATACTACTTCCAGGTTTGGCTTCTAAGTGTTAGCTAATATAGAAGAGTTGGGAAATTTCTTAGCTAAAATAGAAAGGTTGGGAAATTTCAGCACATAATTATCGTAGGGAGACTAAGGCAGACTTCGACAAGTTCTTCCTGAGAAATACAGAGAAGATTTAACCTTAGTGGTCAGAAGATATGGTCTATCTGGAGTGTAACCAAATAACTTCTTAAACCTTACCTGGTTCTGCTTTAACGTGGACACGAGTTTCTGCAACGTGATATTTTCTTCTTCCAGCTCAGTATAGTCCTGAAGGAGGCGGGCCTCTCGGAATTTATATTCTCTTATTTCATCCTTCATCCGTATTCTCTGCAGCTCCACCATTTCATTGTTCTGAAACAATATAATCAACTATCAATACAAAACTTTCTTATTCTAGATACTATGAAGTGTAGATAAAGTCTGGGTAGTTAAAAATAGTCATGTGTTGCTTAACAATGGTGATATATTCTGAGAAGTGAGTCTTTAGGCAATTTCTTCATTGTGTGAACATCGTAGAGTGAACTTACACAAACCTAATAGATGGTTCAGCCTACTAAACGCCTGGGCTCTATGGTACAGTCCTGTACAGCATGTTACTGCACAAAAACAACACGAGAATAAATCGAGCACAAGAGAAAATGATGCAATCAAGAGAGACAGTAAATCCAAGATGTACGAGGCAGCTGCCAGCTTAACATGGCATACTGTCTTACAGCAAACATTTAATAAGTACAAAAAGTACACTCTAAAATAATGATTAAAAGTACCAGGGACATAGTCATTTATTACCATTATCAAGTATTATGTACTGTACATATTGTATGTGCTGTACTTTTATGATTTGCAGAGCAGATTTGCTTACACGAGCATCACCACAAACATGTGAGTAATGGGTTGTCCTACTACATTAGGACAGCTCTGATGTTACCAGGAGATAGGAATTTTACAGCTCTATTATATCCTTATAGAACCACTGTTGCATATGTGGTCCATCATTGTTGTTATGCAGCACAGGACTATACCATAATTTCAAAGCAATGACACTACTTCAAAGTACCTTCAAGAACTAACATGTGGTGTGAAAACATTGATCACAAAGGAACAGATGCTGCTGATCCTACTAAGGTTTGTTGCCTACATTCAAATGGAAGAACATGTTAAATTTTAGTCTAAGTTTAGTGAAAACAGTGATCTCATTATTTTTCCCATCCAAGTTTCCCATCCTGAACTCTATCCATAAATTCAGATCTGAAAACCCTTTTGCCACTTGTCATTCAGGTATCAGTTCAAATGTCATTTCTTAGAGACCTTCCCTAAACAGCTAATATGAAACAACTCCCCTTTTTACTCACCATCACCCTATGATTTATTTTATAGATCAGCATCTAGCATTCAGTAGGTCCTCAAAAAATAATTGCTGAAGGAACAGTACAGATCATTACTTGAAATTGGTTACGTACTTCCCTTTTATACTTTTAACATTTATTAAATTTCCTTTTTCACCCGAGTATAATAAATCTTTCTGTAATGTTCATTGATGTATTCTAATTTCTGGCATATTTTAAGCCCTCATAAGCATGGAATGAATAGCGAAACAGTAATACAACTGATTAAACACAAAATTTTAACAAGAATATTATTTATTACATGGATTGCGAGCATTGTTTTTGAGTCGCAAACAAAGGGAGAATAACACACTTGGTAGTAAAACATGTCTAAAGCTGTGAATCACTAGACATTTAATTCTTCTTCACTACACAGTACAGTGACTTGGAGGCAGAAACATTACTTTATTCCCTGCTCCCTTGAGAATGCTTTGAGTACTATATGCTCAAAAAGTGTAAATTTAAAAAAAAAAGATAGATTTTGGCGATAAAGTCAAATTACAAAAATCCATTAAATTCTTTTATCTTGCAGAAACATGAAATCTTAATATATTTTTATGTCTCCAAAGATCTACTGTAACTGAGTGATATATATATATATATATATATATATATATATATCTAGTTTTCTATATTTATATGTATAAAGGTATGAGGGAGCCTGATAAGCTGGATGCCAGTAATTTATATAAAAGTATAAAGAAAATGTTAAGGTACAAGAGATTCTGTAAAATATGTATACTTTGTAAAAAATGTAATGACCAGAAACCTAGCTCGTATACACTGAGAATTAACCATAAATTCTTATATAGTAAGATAGTAAATGTCAAGATAATTTTAAGGCCATGGCAAAGCAAATGAAGATTGCTAATAAATAATAAAATAGCTAATGAAAACTCCTGATGCTAATTAAGGAAAAGCTTGGCTGTGAAACTGGTTAAGTTGAAAGATTTGATAGCAATAAAACAGACATAAGACCCAGAGAAAGAAGACTGGATTTATTTATTTTGCTAGAAATCCTTGTTTTGAACTTTCAAAGATTATATTCTATGGGCAATCTTCTTTGCTTCCATAATAAACTTAAAAGATCGCTCCTGATGTTTTCTGTGCCAGTCATCAGACACTTATATCCACTTTTTTTTCTTTCCTGGGATAAGATGGTGCTGAGCTCTACTAAAAACTTCCATCAGGAATAGTGAGAGTGAGAAAAATAAAGCAGGAAAGGGGAGAAAATGGCACAAGCAGAGACAGCTTTAGCCTTTGCCTTCCCCCTCCAGAGGCCTGAGCCTCGGCTCCTGCTCAGAAGAGAAGGGAGTACCCTGAACTGTGCGGGCGACTGTCATTATTCGCACTGCACCTGAGTGTAGCACTGTTCTTAAAATTTTACTAATTAACTTTAAAAGGATTTCTTTATGTAGGAATAATTAATTCCCTCTATTGCCAAGAAGAAAATATAAATATGAACTCTTGTGCCCACACACAGCATAATGTATAAAAATAATAATGCCTTCCAGTTACATGGCTTTTAGTCTTTCATAAATTAATTATAGTCATTGTCACATTAGAGCTTAGTATTGTAATAGCTTGTGTGAGGTCGGTGACAGACATTCCAGTTTACGCATCTGAAAAATACGGGGATCCTAATACCTAATAATATATAGTCATTGTAAGGGTTTAATGACAATCCATGGGGAAATGAGCAGGGATGCCAGGCACACAGATAGTTTAATCCTAGCACAGGGACAACTTTTTGTAACAGAGCAAGTGCTGTTACAGAGGTTCACACCAAAGGGCTGAGTCATCCATGCACCTGGGAGAGGCAGGGAAAGCTTTATAAAGGAAATTACATTTGAGCAGCCTTGAAGGATAAGCAGAGTTAACTAAAATGGATGAAGAGGAGAGTAGGCGATCCAGCCAGAGGTCAACTTTGGGACAAAAGCAGAGTCCTCCGTGTGGAGGGCAGTGCTGTAAGTACCACAGTCTCTGACTAAGCGTTCCTTTAGGGCGCCAACGGAGCTGGAATGCTGACAGAAAGAGAGAAATTTAAAAAAATCTAGAATATTTCAAGTGATTTTCAGTTCATGCCCAAATTTGGTGTGGTTTCACACAATACAAAGTTAAATTACAGATTAGTGTTGTTAAACTATGACACAGCGGGAGGAACCAAAATGTTTTCATTTTGGTTGGAACCTTTTAAGTCCTTCACTTGGCTGTGGTTTAGGAACGATGCAGTCTCATGTGGTTGGAACAAAGTAACTTGAGACAGATTTTGCAGGAAATTCTATGTTAAACAAAGGAATTTGGGGAAGCAGGAAAGTCTGTTAAGCAAAGGAGCCATGTGATCAGACCTATGTTTTGGCAAGTGACTCTTGAGGGCTGGGAGGAGGGAGCTCGAAGGAAAAAGAGCCACAGAGGACAAGCTAAGTAGCTGCTCCAACAATCCGAAGTTAAAGGAAATGGTGAGGAATGTTAAAGAACATCTCAGTTAGAATGAATAGGACTTGGTCATTGAATGATAACAAACAAACAAATAAACAAAAAGAATAGAGTAAAACTGATGGCCTTAGTAAGGAGAAAAGTGCCTGAATAGAGTTGTGATATAAAGAAATTTTCGAGCGAAGTGAATGTGAATGTTAATGATGTCTTTATAAATAATTATAAGTAATATTAACTTAGATAGTCAAACCAGGAATTTCTGGATCTATGAGAAGATAAAAGAAGATGGCTACTCTGGTCCAAGCGGAGAAAGCTTGGGAGAGGGAAGGATGGGGAACGTGATACCAGCTTTCTCACTTCTCTCCCAGAAAGGCGCCAGTGCGAGGGAACTCAGGCAGTTCCAGACCGTAACATTTATTTTCCTTCATTTGGCCAAAAATGAACACTTCTTCTGTTGAAGAGAGGAGTGGAAAATAACTCTCCTTGCCTGTCCCCAACCAGGAATTCTCTGCCCTGGGGCCAACGGTGCTTGATCTTCAGTAGTTAACAAGTTAAAAGACACAGAGAGATAAAATCACAATAAGGTGAGACCTACTGCTCAATCAGACAGTACTGTGAGCGCCATAATTCTTCAAGAGAGCTGTCATTGAAGAAACCAAGATATCCAGAGCACCATATAATCAGCACTTCCAAATGCCATCCAGATTTAATAACTGGGCAATCACTAGAAAAACAAACAGGGCAAGTTTGAAGTGTGGCTTAAAACAAACATGCTGTGCAAAAAGAGAGAGAGAGAGAAAGAAAAGAAAGAGAAATGTAAAGAGATTTGCCATGGCTTGGAAAAGTAATAGAGGAGAATTATGACTTGGGATAGCATTTTCCATAGTGAGTTCTGAAGTAGGGGAGTTCTGTGCCAGGTTACTAGGAGTCACTCAAACATAAGTTTGGGAAATATTAGGTTAAATAAAGTTACATATTTTTTGTTGTTCTCAGAGCCTCTAATATGCTAGTGGGCACTGAGACTATGTAAGAGCAAAACATGGTATGCTTGCCGCATGTGCTAAAATGTAATTAAGCACAAGACCTCTACCTTTTTAAAGGAGCCTCCTGAATAATCCACAAACCAAATCATTGGAAAACATTATTCTGAGACAATAGAACATGAAGTGTCTGCACAGATGATGAGGGAAACCACCAAGCTCCTTACAGCCCAACTCCAGATCCCTTCCAACTGCTCAGGGCTCAATGAACCATCAAATTTACATAAAGCATAAAATTAAAGCAGAGGCGTGGCTAGATTTTTTTTTCTTTCAAAGGGTGAGACCAGACAATCAGGTCCTGACTGGCAATGAGTGAGTGACCATACAAAGTAATAAAGCTATAATGAAACCAAGGCTCCATAATTTTTACTACAAGGTATTTGCAAATCTTGCTCTGAAAAAATGGCACCACAAAGGGTTAACTATCCTAGACTGAATTTGAAGTAATACAGGCGTCTTTCCCATGGGATATCTGCCTCCATTAGAAGTC